CACACACACACACACGATATAATATATGTATACTCTCTCATATAGTGTGCGTATATATATACTATATCGGAATTACTCTACCTTTGGAATCAATTATCTTTACTTTTAATTGTGACAGACAAGTGAATTCGCTGGCGGACGATTTCGAATTGGTGACAATAATAGTTACGGTAATGCAAGAAATTGCCCGTTAAAACTTGAAGAGATTTATGAAATAGTGATTATCGTAACCGAACGGAATTCGTCCAATGAGCCGATCGTACTTGCAAAATTAATCCTCAGTGAAGTTCCATCGAAGCATTACGAAGAATGGCTCATATCTATTGTATCCATACCAATCATACCTATTGTATTAATTTTCGTTGTAGCAGGTGCAGCTTCTTACTTATATCAAAGGTTAATATTTTTTGTTCTACTTTTTAGGAGACAGAGCAATATTACTGGCTACATTTATTATTTTTGTCGTGTTAGCACTTTGGACTGAAATTATCTGCTGACACTACAAATCAAATTTTAATAAAGTACAGATTAATTTTACGTCTACTGCAGTGTAACGTTGTAATTTTTTTTACAGGAAAAAGAAGTTATCTAAGCAGTTAATGCAAAGCGAGATGATTCTATCGCAAAACATTAAAATCCACGAACGCGAAACAAAATTCATGTTATCAAATTCAAAGCAAGATCCTTCGACTAACCCTAATGAACATTTCCTATCTCGAGCAACTACGGAAGTATTGCCGATCGTTACCGCGAACGAGGAGAAGAATGAGATGTCTTTGCTAATAAAAGTGAAAGATTTCGAAGATTATGTCAGACAGGCAATACAATTCGGGTTGCTCGATAAGCAATACGAGGTAAATTCTTAATCTCTTTTAATCCTTGAACTTTTAAATTGCACATCAAAAACTTGATATTTGCACGTTGAATTAAATAGTATAAAATTTTAATCAAATACAAATTCTTATCATGTACAATTTGTAATAACAAATGGAATTTGTATTTACTTATACATAACAATGCAATAAGATTATTTTATGATTTTTTTTTAGACGTTTCCAAAAGGACAAACTCGACCGTCAAATTATGGTAAATTACAGCAGAATAAATCTAAGAATCGATATAGAAATCTTGTTGCGTGTAAGTAAAAAGTTGATAGTAGACTATAGTTACATTTACGCAGCAACTTAATATTCTGATTCGTACAGATGACAAAACGCGCGTGATATTGAAGAAACTTCCGGATGACGCTCACTCCGATTACATCAATGCTAATTACATCACCGTAAGTCTAATTAATTATAAGTATGTTAGTTCTAGAATGCAAATGATCATAAGTAATATTTTTGTGTATTTGCACGAAACGACTGAAAATTAGTGAATATTAACGATTAATAATAATTTTTAAATATAATTATTCAAAAAGGGCTACAAGAAGGAAAAGCAATATATAGCAACGCAAGGACCCAAACCTAATACGGTCATCGATTTTTGGCGCATGATTTGGCAGGAAAACGTTCTTATTATTTGCATGTTAACAAATGTGGTTGAAAATGGAAAAGTAAGTTTTTTGATTAATTATTAAATTGTTACCCTTTTGCGAAATTTAACAATTTTTTAATAATAGATTAAGTGCGAGCAATATTGGCCGGATATTGGGAAGACGATGAAATATGGCGACATTATTGTGCTAAATGAGAAGCATAATGTTTTAGCTGATTATTGTTTTAGAACTTTCCATGTCACTTGTGGAGAGGAAACTCGAAAGGTATTGACATTTTTTTACGAATATGGACGTAATAACTTTTATTAAATAACGTACATCAACAACAGATAGAACATCTGCATTACATGGCTTGGCCGGATCATAGTGTGCCATTATACACGTACTCGGTGGTAACGTACCTGAAGAAACTCTTGGCGACACCACGTGGAAACGGACCCGTGGTAGTCCACAGCAGTGCTGGCGTTGGAAGAACCGGGATCATCATTTTATGTGACATTTGTCTCCATCGAGCAGCGGCAGAAGGAGTAATAATGACATTTTATTTAATCATTGCTTTAATAACGTTATTTGAATTAGTTAACAGTATTCAATATTTACTTTATGTTAACTGTATGGAAGATAATGATTTGATTGTGAATGAAATTTTTTAGTTGGTTGATGTTTTTGCCGCAATGGCGTCCATTAGAAGTGAAAGAGTTAATATGGTGGATAATAAACAGCAATATCTGCTAGCGCATTTGGTACTAGTGGAATGTTTGCTTTCTATTCAAACGACATTGCCACGTAATGAGATGTTACTGACTCGAATCAAGGAGTTAAAGAAACAATTGCCGATTCAACAGCAAAGGTATGTCTTAAAAACTCGAATGTAAATTTATATTTAGTCTTGAACCATTTAAAATAATGTTACTATAGTTAATTATTCCCTAATTTTCAGATTACAGAATGTGTGGCAAGATGAAGTCCTGCGACAAGTTACGTCTTCACCACTGTTGTCGGAGCGTAGCCGAGCAGAAAACAGAATTCCGGAATTAATTTTAGGTTCGTATACAAATTTTAATTACGAGATTTATTCTAGCTTTTCAATTCCAAATTTTGACTAAATACATGGTAAGTCAATTATATAAATAAATGTTTCGTATGTCTCGTTAACAATAACTTTTATTGAAAAGGAATTAAAAAAAGTTGTGTAGAATACATACTTAAAAAAAGTTATTTTTTTTATAGATAAGACCAGCAGAATATATTTGAAGAAATACCCGGCATCGGACGAAGGCAGCGATTATCTCTCCGCCGTTTACGTAGACGGAGTAAAACTTCAGAATCAGTATCTAGCCACGCAGCTTCCTATGCCATCAACGATTAATAATTTTTGGCAAATGATTGCGGACTTTAAAGTCAAACTAATTCTCATATTGCAGCCGCCTGATTTTCAGGATCCTGTATGTGCATCTTCTACATATTAATTTAGAATGTATATGTGAATGTGTTTGTGAGAAAAAACATTTGCAGAATCTAAATTATATAATTTACAATTATTTTGTTACTTTTTAATTTTTGAATTCATACATAATAATTAAGATAAAATGAGTAAGAATTAGTTTGTAAAACACGTCATATCAAGATTATAATAGTAATTTACAGCAAAAATTTTCTTTAAATTGAATTAGATGTTTTTAATAGATTTTTGAATACGGAAAACAATGCCGCAAGCAAAAATTCCAATACATCAGGTTTGAGATTTAATGTCCAAAAAGAAATTTTTTCACGATATTTAACATTTGTTTGTAAAGAAGGTGAACGTTATCTTGAAATACTGATCAGAAGTCATGAACGTATTATTCATCCCCTATAAAATGCATTTTTTTTATTTCAGTAGCTTACTCTCTCTTGTTAGTCATGTTATAAAGTATTTAAATACAGCCTTTTTTAAGATAACAAATTTTCTATCTGATGATAAAATTACATGTACTTATAATTCCTAATTTGTACTTATCGATTTATATACACATTGACATTACAAACAATGTAATTTATTGTGACATATTCCACTAAATGTACACACGCACGCACGCACGCACGCACGCACGCACGCACGCACACACATGGTGTCTCATTTTAACTCATCTCAAATATCTAAAAGAAAAAGTATTTAAAAAAATGTTTTAGACAAAAGTTGTCTACAAGAAAAGGTCTGAAGAGAAACAAACAATGACAAAGTAGCCGCCAATCACGCATATGCACATGCGATGTTGTCTCAGTATCCCCGGTATCCCCATATTAGAAATAGCTTCAATTTTTGATAACACGATTAAAAAATATGATATTAAAATAAAAAAGAAATACATTTTATAGAGGATGATCAATATATTCATAATTTTTTATCAAAATTTCAAAATACCGTTAATTTTTTTTTACAAAAATACGTCAAAAATATCACTGAAAAAGTTATTTTTTTGGACAAACTAAACTTCAATTAACTTAGAAACCTAACGTGTTGAAGAAATTTAACTTGCGACATAGTTTTCAGTATACATCAAACATGAATAAAAAACACCCGATAGTCCGGTTCAAAGTAATAAAAAAAAATTTTTTTTAAAATAATGTAATTAAAGTACACAAATATTGTTGCGTTCATAATTATAGAGAGATAGAGAGTAATATATTTTTGAAATTTCAGACTTGCTGCGCCATCGCTCCTGCAAGCGGCGAGTTTAAACCAACCTCCCATTTAAATATCAAAGTGAAGGAAATTGTAAAATTGAAGTATTATACGTCACAAAAATTGCTGCTCGTTGATAATTCCAAGGTAGATCAATTCAATAGTTTTCATTTGCCATATTACTTACTCAACGTGATGACACTTTGTTGCAGAAACCCTCGAGAGAACAATTTGTTACTATATTGTGTTTGACTGAATGGAAATCTGGAAGGGATCGATCACCGCCGCCGGTTATAACAATGGTGACCTTTTGGCAAGCTGCGGAAAAAATAGCGAAAGGCGATTAGCCCATTGTCACGCTTTGCTAGTAAATATTACTATTCCAAACTTAAAGAAAGAGCCAATTCAAATTATTGATTTTCTTCAACAATAAAAAAATTATTTCTTTTACATTCTATTTTTTTTCTCAACAAATATGTACTTAGTCGATAATAATAATAATAATAATAATAGTACTAATAATAATAATAATAGCAGAAATAAAAAAATAATCAATTATAAATTTGTATTTTCTAATCGATATTTTAAAAATATTAAAAAATGTAAAACAATTCTTCAGCGACGGAGTAACTGGATGTGGTCTCTATTTAGCATTGAGTTTTTTACTGGAACGAATGGCTGTTGAAAGAGAATGTGATGTTTATTTGGCGGTACGAGCTGTTAGACGATCAAGATCAGATTTTGTTTGTTCCATGGTAATATAACAATATTTTATAGTAATTTTATAACACAGAAAAACATATTGCTAAAACATATCAAAATAAAATTATCTCAGTCATCGCTATTAAACCAAATAAAAAAAAATTTCAAAAAAATACTAAAATTACAATTTTTTTTAATGCTTAGGAACATCTGGAATACCTGTATGATGCAGCAGTAGCATATTTGGAATACTTTAATTGAAACCTACACGAATAAAATAAAAATAATTTATTAATTTAAGGTAATAAAACGACGTTATATTGTAATAAAAAGTTGAATGTTGTTGCAATATATATATACATATATACATATATACATATATATATATATATATGTATGTATGTATATATATATACACTACACATACATATATATGTATATATGCAGGGTTGGCAAAGTTACTTTGTGAAAGTGACTCCCATTACTTAAAAAACTAACGAGTCGTTACTATTTTTGTTACTTTTTCTTGATATTAATAGATCTTAAGAGCACACGTCTG